CCCCTTTGGTTTATAGCCTCATCTTTCTCCAGTGGAGCCGCTGGTGGTTTTGAACGGCTGACGTAGCTCAGGTCATAGACCGGTAGGCCACCAGGGCTCCTCAATTTGAGAAAGAAGGACTAAATTAATTCTTGGTGGCAGGTATAAAAGTCCTTCTGGATTTCTACCTGTGGAAAACGCCAGACTTCCGGGACTTCTGTGTGGGAGGCATGGGAGTGGGTGAAGAGAAGGTGGAGGGGGAAGGGTGTCTTTCTGACTGGTACAATTGTCCTAAGTCTAGACTTCAGATGAATTGCCCTGTTTCACACCTCATTTCTCACACTTGCCCTCCACTCTTCATGCTGACAGGGCCCGACGCCGCCCAGGGGTAGAGAGAGTCAGCTCTCACTCTTGCTCCAGAGACCCTTATCAGTATGTGGATTTGTCTTCCGGTGCCGGTTTTCTGCCTTCCTGTCCTGGAACTCTACGATGCCTGTGGTTCCTCCTCTCTGACTTGTTCGCACTGTAGGATTGACGACCGTTAGTCATCCTTCTCCTTTATTGCCACGCAGTCTTGGAAGAACAGGACATACTGCATGTGGGCAGGTCACCATTTTGAACCTCTTAGGCCCTTCAGCTATTTTGGAATCCTGCTCCCCTCCCCACCAAGCCTCTGTTCCTTTCTACGACCACCCAACAAGCATGTAACCCAAGAGAAAGTCCTAAGACAAGCAGCCAGCATTTTCACCAAAGCTGCCCTCGTGAGATGCATTGCATCGCCTTACCCAAGATCGGAATGTGGCTGCGAAGCGTTTGCCTTGGCGTCCAGCAGAAAGCGTTTCTGTGTGATGTTCCTTGTGTCGCTCACATGAAGCACAGGGTAGCTCATCTGTCTGGTCCAGGTGTCCATGACTTCTTTCACAGGTAAGCCACTTGCCTAATGTTTTAAAAACACGAGCACGAGCATATTAAAAAGGAAACCCAAAGGCCATAATGACCAGCCCAAAAGAAGTGCTTGGTGGGAAAGACGAACATACAAAGGCATACTCTTCTTGCTTACCTCTTCCAGAGCGTCCCAAAAATCTGATGTCTTTGCATTCTGGAATTTGTATTTTTTCAAATAAATCTGTGTGAATGATAGAAAACTATTTTAAAAGTCAATGTTTGCTTTTCTCACATCTCTATAACATAGGCAGGAATCATACTCGTATTTCACCCTAATGGAGAATCATAGCTGGCCTACCTAAAATGAAATGCGCTATACCCTGTCTATAGAACACTTTGTGCACTACAAAAACACAGCACAAGCAATACTTTCTTTGTAAAGCAGAATGGAGAATTTTTGCTGACCCATATGAGGTGTTCGTTCTTTTTGTGAACGTTAAAAACAGAGTACAAGGAGTCTTTCATTTGTAAAGCAGAATGGATATCTTATGCTGACCAATGTGATATGTTGGTTGTTTTTTTTTTTTTTGGGGGGGGGGCTGTTATTTAATGGAGTTGTGGCCAGAGGAAGGAACAAGGGCGACTCTTTGGGGACAGGTGCTGTAAGTTACTTAAGCAGAGATGCATGCTCAGTAAGCGTCCACTGCCCGTAAGGAGATCATCAACAACCACCAGCGGCTGCTGAGTGGATTCTGACTTGGGGAGATTCCACCTGGAGAGAGTACAATGGCTCTGCAGGGCTTGTTTAGCAAGAGATCACGAGATCGTTCTTCCGGGTGACTTCTTGATGGGGTCGAATTACTAACCTTTCTGTTAGTAGTAGAGTTCTTAACTATTTGTGCCCCTCATTTTGACTACTACCAGAGATCCAAAATTCTTCATCTTGACGTGGTGGCGTGAAAAAGCTGCATCCTCTACCTTCATTTATACCGGTGCTTTCTCATCTCGGACACTAGGTGGCGCCATCACACCAAACAAAACAACCAAACTCACTGCCATCAAGTTGAGTGTGACTCAGCGACTCTCTAGGACAGAGTAGAAGGGTCCCTGCAGATTTCCCGAGACACCAAGCAAAAAAACTCAAACTCACTGCCACCGAGTCCATTTCAACGCATAGTGATCCTATGTCAGAGTACAGCTACCCGCCTGGGTTTGCGAGACTGTACTTCTTTAAGGGAGTGGAACGCCTCCACTTTCTCCCACGGAGTGGCTGGTGGTTTCAAACTGCCGACCTTGTGGTTAGGTGCCCAACACATAACCACTAAGACACTAAGGCTGTCTCATCTTTCTCCCACGGAAAGAGCGACTCTACGTTGCTTTAATGTTCAGTAGCTTCAGGGCCTAAGTCACAGTTTTCTGGGGGAAACAGTATACGCAGAACTGTTGCAAGAACCCTGCAAGAGAGCTGAGGGAAGTTTGGAAAGCTCTGCGTATATTTGTTCTTTTTCATTAATCCACTACTCAACGCTACCACTAGAGGGCAGGCAAAGGAAGGCAGAATGAAAGGATGTGGACTTTGCCAATGACAGATATTCATTGCAGTTTGCAAGAAATCATTCGTTCTGTCTTAATAAACTCTTTGAGTACGGCAAATGGTAACAATGACAACCAAAGCTCTCTGTTGACAGAAACTTCTACTGAACAGTATCTTCTTAAGGTAGACGTTCAAAGTGATTTAGGAGCATTTATTTGTACACTCACAATGGTTTGAACTTACACACATGCACTGCTGGAATTAGGGTGGGGACTTTAAATATTAATTTAATCCAACTGCCATCTTTTGGGGGTGAAGGAAAGCAATGCCTAGAGAGATGAAGAGACTTTCCTGAGATTACTATGAAAATTGTGAGTCCTGAACCACCATGTCTCGTGTGCCTGCTTTTCAACCGTGCTCCTTGCTGTTGTTCTAGTTGCAGTAGCTTACCTTGTCGTAACCATTGGCTTAGAATAGAAATGTAAATAAATAGTGTATCAACCAATTGCCATTGAGTTGATTCCAATTCCTGGTCACTTCCTTTGGGTCTGAGTTGAACAGTGCATCCCGGGGGTCTTCACCGGCCGCCTCTTTGGAAAGCGAATGGCAGGACCTTCTCTGAGGTGACTGTCAAAACAGCCACACGCACTGCCATCAAGTCTACTTAGACTCATCGTGAGTCAGGCAGCGCCAATGGCCCTGAGTGGCTTCAGAGACGACTTCCAAAGGAGTAGACAACCTTATCGCGCTCCTGCAGACAGCAACTGGTGGTTTTGAACTGCTGACCTTGTGGTTGGCAGCCCAGCGTGTGATTCACTACACCACTAGAGCTCCCTCCCTCATTGTCATGGAGTTGATGATGACTCATAGCGATCTTTTGGGACAGGGGATTCTGAAAACGTCTTTCTGGGACCTGAGAGCCCCATCTAGTTTATTGAGTGTGGCTTATATTGGTTATAGGAGTTGTGGGGGTGTAATGGGTTATGCATTGGGCTAATAAGCATGAGGTTAGCAGTTCAAAACCACGACCTGCTTCATGGGAGAAAGGTGGTGTTTCCACTGCCATGATGAATTACAGTCTCAGAAACCCCCAGGGACAGTTAGACCCTGTCCTAAAATGTTGCCATGCATTGGAATTGATTCAGTGGTAGGGAATTTCATTGAGCTTTTATTCACTTATTCAAGGAGGCCTGGAGGTGTATGTGGGACATCATAAAGTGGGTTGCTATCCACAAGGTCAACAGTTCGAACTCACCAACTGCTCCTCAGGAGAAAGATGAGGCTTTCTGCTCCTGTAAAAATTTACAGCATCCGAAACCCACAGGGGCAGTTCTACTCTGTTCTATAGGGTTACTATGAGTTAGAATTGATCCATTGGGTGGCAGTGAGATGTTTTTTTTCTTCCCCAGTTTAATTTAATTAGGAATCCCTGGCAGCTGCTCTGTGGAAGGTGAGGCTCTCTGCTGCCCTGAAGCTTTACAGTCTCACAAACCCTATGGAAGGTTACTCTGATTTGGAATCTTCTTGATGGCAGTGAGTGCACTTGGCCATTTTAGGAAGGTTCTGGGCCAGAACTGAGGAAGAGGTGCATTGGAAGACAGGGCTGGGGATGTACTTGGGGGTGGGGTGGGGGGCGGGGCAGAAACAAAACCCAAAACCAGCCATAGAAGGCCATGGGGCACACCATTGTACTCTGACACAGAAAGGGTTTTGGGGTTGAAACCCACTTTACGTAATACGTCATACCTGACATCCTTTCTGGAATTTCTCTGGTGTTATCCAGTCTTCCAGCATTCGTAGAATGGAAGCTCCCTGAGATGGCAAACAACGAAGAATTAAACTAATGAGCGGCAGCCTCAGTCATCGCGGTGGCGGCTCGCACCCAGGCTCTTATTTGTTAGGCCATTTCCCTGCGTGAGTGAGCCTGCTACATGCCAGGGTGTGGGTCACGCTGTGATCCTAGGAAAGAGAAGGCCACCTTCGGGCGCCCTGCTGCGGGCCGCTCTGCCTCTCCGAGTCCTCCCAGAGGGTGAGAAATGGGGAGCCCGGGGCACAGCGGTGAAGCAGACGGAAGGTCTGCCCATGAAAAGGTTAGAGGGTGCGACCCACCGGCCTCTCTGGGGAACAAAGAGGTGGCAGGTTCCCGTGGCCATCCCTTGGATCCGCCTCTCAGCCACCCTGCGGGAAAGCGGAGAAGAGCCCCGCTGGGTTTCCCGGCGGTCAATCTTTATGGAAGCCCCTTACCACTCCCCACCCCCTACCCCTGCAACCCCCACCTTCAGCCCCAGAGCACTAGTGGGCTCCTCGGGAGTTCACACCGCTGGGTGTTCAGTTAACAGCCAAGCAGAACCACCAAGGCTCCTCCCACAAAGAATTAAAATAACAACAAAACACATCTCACGACCAGCCTCATCTTTCTCCCAGGACGTGGCTGGTGGGTTCCCACTGCTGACTTGGGGGTTGGCAGCCCAGCGTGTCCCCCACGGCTCCCTCGGAGCTCCTCACAGCCGGGAAGCCCCGTGGGACAGTGGGGCTCTGTGCTCTGGGGTCACTGTCAGTTGGAATCCACTTGCGGGCAGCGGGTTCAAAGAGAAAGGCGATCCTTTTAGCGACTGGAGCTTCGGGTCGCCATTGTACTTCACCCAGTCAACCCGATTGGAGCTCTCCTAATGAAAGAGAACGTCCGGAGCACGTGGGGGCGGGGAGGGGTGTCCTAACGTAGTGTGATAAATAAGGGACAGTTCTTCCAGGATAGCAGCTGCCTGACTCTATGTATGGAAAAGACAACGACTCCAGGCAACAGAGGGGAGTGGAGCAGGGAGCCAAGAAATGACCTGCTCAAACGCTGACCTCTGGATAGACACCATTTAGGCACAAAATATCCTGCAGGGTGAAGCCTCATTAGCTTTTCCTCCGTCTGTAGAATTTTATAAACACTCCGCTCCCTACTTTCCTTTCGGCGTTGTAGGATTAGTACTAAAATGTACAAGTTATAAAACTTTAAATCAACTTTCAAGTAAATGACGCTCCCCATAAGATACTTTTCTAGTGTTTGCCGTAATGGATTATGTATCACAAGTTGTGTTTGCACCTAGAAGAAGGTTACACACTTGGAGCATTTATGTTTGACCTAATAGCTTCAACCCACGGGCATACGCAGTGTTCAGGGAGAAATGGGTTCGATGACTGCAAGTTAGCGTCTAAGGGCTCTAAGGGCCACGGGACAGGAAGCAGCTCAGCACAGGGCTATATTCTCCGCACCTTGCTGTAGGATATTCCGTCAAACACAGATGTGATTTCGGCCGGGGTGGACACCGTGACGACAATGGGGTGGGAGGACATCAGGGAATCATCCTCTTGCACCGGTAGCACGTCTTCCAGTAACATCTGGTCACGCTGACAGAGCAGAAGGAAACAGACAGATGGCATTGTCTGGACACTAACTTAGACTTTAAAATAGCATCTCGGTAATAAAAGCAGGGGGGGGGGGGGAGTAAGCATAAACCAATCTTCCAGTCATTTGAAAAAAAGCCTAAAACATTCATTTCCCAAACAAATCATATTTTGTGCTGTTCTAATCTATATTTATGGATTTCATCCCCCTAGTCTGTGTGCAGTGCCTCTACCCGTTCTCTCTAAATGACTGGCCCAGAACACGCAAAACCCCGCACCAATCTCGTTGCCTGCAGTTGTGGTTAGGTGCCAGTCAGTAGGTCTGGAACCACAGTGACGCATGCACACAACAGAAGGAAATCCTCTCTGGTGCTGAACCGCCCTCACAGTTGTTACGTTATGCCCACTGATGCAAGCCTCAGCGGGTTTAGTGTCTGCCATTTCTGTGTCACTTTGGGGTACCGTCAAACTGTTTAAACACCGCTTTCTGTATCTGTAGAGTGGGAGGATGAGAGCGTCTTAGAGGTTCTTCTGAGAATTAGCGAGGAAGGGCGATGCCCAATCTTCGTTTTCGCTTCAACTTGTCATTGGAATTTGGAAAGACCGTAGTGAATGGATTCATGGGAAAAAACATTAGTTAATGTTTGAGACCTATTGTTTGGTTTCTCCTTTCAGCCCCAGGTTTTTTCCGCACAATGAAGCAGTTACTAAGTGTCACACCATTTCAGACTTGTTAGGTTCCAAGCTCCGTTTTTGGGTCTCTAGCCGGTGAGACCAATGAGACCCCTTGCTTGCTTAGTAGGGATGCTGGTGGCACCCCCCAGGTTTGAGCTGTGAAGGGGCTCAGTGAGGTGTGCATCCAGAGCATTCGTCTGCATGCCCGTCACACAGTGAAAAACCAACACCTTAGCCGTTGTTATTATTTGGACCCTTAAACAACTACATCTAGAAATCTAGCTCTCTTCAGTCACAACCACTAGAAATACACACCGAACGTTATTGGTCCTGCTTGATTAAAAATATTTCCCATAGAGATACTTTATGTTCAGTTTGTTTACTTGCTGGCCTGCTAATCGTGACATCAGCAGTTCAAACCCACCAGCTCCTCAGCTGGAGCAAACGGAGGACAGAGATACGTCTGCGAAAACTACATGGGGGCAGTGCTCCCTAGTCCTCCAGGGCTGCTCTGCATCAGAAAGGACACAAGGCAGGGAATTTGGCTTTGCTTTCAGTGGCTGCCCATCAAGATCCTCTTGACTTGGCATCTGTAGTTTTGGGTCCATAGAAAGAACCCTGCTCTGGGTTACTGAACATTGACTTTGGTCCTGGTGTTATTGTGTCTGTGTGACATTGGGATAGCTCTGTTACCTCTCTGGTCTTCAGGTTTTTAAATTTTTATTTTACCCCGTGACAGGAACTATTGATGCCATGGTGGTACTTATCAAATGCTCTTCAAACTTCTTAAGGGCAAAACTTGTGTCTTATTCATTGTGGGGTCCTCTCTAGCGTTTGATGACTGTGGTAATTACATAGTCTGGTGTCAGTTTGAGAGTGAAGGGGTGGAGTTTAGCCAGCCAATTAGGTCGCAGCTTGATGACTTCATTTGGAGGTGCTTAGGAGATAAATAGCTTGCTGGAGGCCGGACACACACTCACTCCCTGCAAGACATTCCTGCAGACAAGACACATGGAGCTGTGCTAGAACCCTGGAAGTGAGACCCCTACCAGCACTGAGATGCTTATACCACCACTGGATCCACAAGACTTTCCACCCAATGGTCTGTGATCTTCCTGCATTTGGCATTATTGCATGGCTGCGTGAGCCTAAAGAGGAATTGATGGACTAATATTGGACATATGGGCTAAAATTGTACTTATGGATTTGATCTGAACTGGGCTAGGATGTTTTCTCAATATTCCAATTGCTCTTGAATATAAAGCTCTTTCTTATACACATATGAGTCTCTCTGGATTTGTTTCTCTAGTTTATCCAGACTAACAATGACTCACTGACTTAAAGACCAAATAAGTGAATGAATGTGTGAGACCATGTAATGAAAGCATCCTTGAAGAATGGTGTCAAATTATTCCGGAAGATTATCAGGTTTTTTAATGCTGAAATTGGATATCAGACAGTACTAATTATGATTTATGAATCAATAGCCAGACCATTTTGCTCTAAGAAGGACATTAGGCTACTTTAAAGGATAGAGAAGAAAGGGCAAGAGAAATTCTTACTGACAATTCTTCCATATATTCTGAAGTCAGAAAATGCCTGTGTTCTTCCATTGGGGGAGACTGTGAACGCTAGGGAAATGGGTCTGCCACAGGGAGGTGGGGGTGCCACCAGCACCGAGAGGGTAGGGGTTGGTAGTTGGTGTTGGTAGTTACTCTTGCGTTAATTCTGACTCATAGCAACCAAAGCAACTGGACAAGACACCGCCTGGTCCTCACAATTAGAGGCTAGGGATAATGCCGAACAACCTACACCACACAGGATAGCCTCCCACCACAATTAGCTGACCAAAATGTCAGTCCTGTCCTAAAAGAGGATATTTCAGGAAGTGGTTATTGCCCAATAGCTTTTTTTCACCTTTTAAAATAAGCGATGGAAGCCTATAGCTTCACCCAAAGGAAACGTGAGGCCAGACGTTGTGCTTTTATTCTGTCCCAGTAGAGGGCAGTAGTCGACCTAATACATAACCTCCAGTTCCCCACCTGCACCCACCTCCAGTCATACACACCAACCAATAAAAATAATTGTATGACCCAAATATAAATAGCAAAAGACCTAGATTTTCTAGGGGAAAAAGCCCAACAATATCTGTAGAGTTTTATAGGAGCTGGAGGATTTCAGTTCCAGGTCTCTCACGGGTATGGGGCATACTAATATCATTGTCTGAGGACTCTAGAAGAGTTAATGGGGCAATTCCATTATGTTTTAATCCCATTTTCTCCCCATGAACCCTTTGAAGTCCCTTCCTCATGCTCTTGTCTTGGATGTTTTTAAGTATATGCGGCAGAGAACAGTGCTCTTATTTTATCGAGAAGGAACCTTACCAAGGCAGTTATAGAACTTGCTCTCAGCCAGGGTACCTGTCACATATCTAAGAAACCATGTGATTTCTGCCAGTCATGATGCGTTTGAGCTGGATTTTGTTTTTAAGAAGGTTAGATCGGTAGAAAGAATCATGTGCTTGGTGACAAGAAATTCAACTGTAATCCTTGTTACCAAGTATCTGTGTGACACCGGGCAAGTTCTCTCCCTGGTTCTCAGATTTCTTCTTGACCTGTGCAATCACGTTCTTATTCTAGGAGGTAGCCCTGTGATACTTATCGCAGTCTCTCCCACTGTCTCATGCGTTCTCTAATCCCTCCTCTGGCCAAACCCCAATTTGGGAACACTTTAAGTGCAGGAACTGTGCTAAGCTTATAAGTTTTTCTTTCTCCCTACACCACACAACACCAACTGTGTAAGGTAAGTCAGTTACAAAGTGAGGCTTGGAGTGTTTTCAAAGGGTTAATACATATTTTCCTGGACACAGAGTTGGCATTTTCAAAGGGAGCTACTCTCTCCCACCCACCCCTTGCCTTTCCACATGTTCTTGAGTGATGACATCAACATATCCCTAGATTGTCGCAGTCTGTTGCCCCTGGGCCTGCGCGTGGGCTGTGCATGAGGTACAGTTCCGTGGGAGTCAGTTGGCCCCACCCATGCTCACAGTGGAATTCCCAAGTCCCTAGCCCTGGGTCACCATGACCCAGGAGACCACGGTCAGAGTCCAGAGGCACTAAAGCCGAACAGCATGAGAGAAGCAGAGATCCCAGCGCCTGGGTGACCCGAACTCACCATCTGCCAGTCGGGTTCTGCCTGGTTTACCCCCAGGTACTCGAAGAAGGAAGCAAACCCTTCATTTAGCCACAAGTCTTCCCACCAGTCCATGGTCACAACATTGCCAAACCACTGAAATGATAAGCAAACAAAAACAAACAAACAGAATGACAGTTACATTCTTAATGTTTTAAATAGAAAGCCCCAGAGCCCTTTGAGACGCGCTGTGCCCCGGAAGTGTCAGGGATCGACCTGGCAGTTATTCCCTGCTTGCTTTCTCTTTATCTGAGCACCCGAACGTCTCCTTCACCTTTTTAAGGAATTGCTGGGAATATGTCAACTTGCACGGCGCTCTCCTGCGATTTCGTTGGTGGCAAAACCATGTGTTTCAGAAGGTATGTCTGGTGTGGGTAGCACCACGCAGGGTTCTCACCGGGCGCTTTCTACGTGGGCAGTGTTTATCGGCTCTGCCGTGATTAAATGATCCCTGTGTCTTCAGTCCCCTTTAAAGCAAATGGATACGATGCCCAGGCTCCCATACCTGGTGCACGAGTTCGTGGGCGATCACACTGGCCACCCTCTGCTGGTTGGACGAGGCCGATTCGTTGGGGTCGTAGAGCAAGTTGGTTTCTCGGTAAGTGATGAGCCCCCAGTTCTCCATGGCCCCGGTGCCGAAATCCGGGATCGCAATTTTATCTGTGGGACAAGCAAGACTCTGTGAGAAGGACGTCTTCCCACTTGCTTCCTAACCTTCCTAACTACATGGAGGTCTTTGGGTGAATGCTTTTAAGGGGCGAAAAAGAATTTCTCAGAGGGAAAAATGGCCATCTCTTTGTTCATACCCTTTGGCCCTGAATATGCAAGGAGTTTTTCTGTTGCTTCCAGGTACCAGTGTGTGTGTCCCCTCCGCCCCAAGCCCCCACCAAGAAGGACCGGGATGGCAGTCCTCATCCCAAGGCCACCTCTCTATGCTTCAGTTTTGATAAGCATCCTCCCCTCCCCCATGCTTTCCCTTAGGTAACAAGGAGCCTTTGTTTTGGGGGATAACCTATGAAGAATGAGAGAGCCAATCTTAGAGGAGGATTTGGAAGCTGATGAGTATACAGAAGTAGATCTCTAGCCCAGGAGATGGAAGATTAGATAATATAAAAACCTACCTTCCCCCAAGAGAGCTGTCTCATTGAAGGTCAACGTGATCCCCCCACCCCCAATCCAATAGTTTACCACCCACCTGTCAGACAACAACCCTGTGCCCGTCAGTGCCAGTGCACAGCGACCCCACTGGGCAGGTGGAACTGCCCCATCCATAACCCACTATGCCCTCAGGGCTCCCTTATGACCCAATGACCTGTATTAAATAAGAAACATGAAATTGACTATATTCTTTCTAACTTCCCTTCCAGACCTAAACAGTTAAGTTCTATAAGGACCTCCACCTCCTCTTCCTTATGTTGCCAGTCGTCATACCAGCCATGCTGGTTGACAGGATAAGACTGTGGGGATCGGGTCCATGTTAAATTCTGTGACTCGAATGACTAGCCGACATCATATAATTTCCCCAGGGAAGGAACTCTTGTCCAAATGTGATTTTTAAATGACATTGATCAATGATTTGCATGGAAATCCACTGAGCTTTCATTGGCCACATAAGAACAAGCCTCTTCTTTCTGGTTCCAGAGTGTTTCCTAAAGCATTTTTCAAAAACGTAAAAAGTGGCGCTATCTTCAGTAGAGGTCAGGGTTGCAGCAGGATTTTCCTTCTCATGTCACTTTTATTTTTGGATTTGTTTATTTTGTTCAGAGATTCTCTCTTCAATGGTGGGCAGACATGTTTACCGCACATAATACTTAACCCAAAGACACGCTTTATACCTCAACTCTTTGGTGACTACTGTCATTATCATTAATTATTTCCAGTGCATGGACAGCTTAGCGTCTCAGAAGGGCCAGTGCTATTTCTGGGGAAACTGGAAGATGGAGTCCACTCCGACAAGCTTGAAAATGTGTCTCAAAGAGTGTGGAGAGCAGGGCCTGGGAGCTAGAGAGAAAATAAGAAAATGCAGGCAGGGAGGAGGAGGAGAGCACAGCAAACGTGTGAAGCCCCGTCCCAAGCTACACTGGCTGGTTCAAGTAAGAGATTGCACTTGCTCTTTTGGCTCCGTCACTATCAAGCTCTGCAGTTTGTGCTCGTACTTTCCCCTTTCTTGAGACATAGAGGGCTGTTCATTGGTCTGCTAAGAACAGGGTACAGATGTTATTCTCGGAGGAATCCAGAAACAAGGCTGGAACTTCTAGCAGTTGGGAATGATCATTGAATAAGGATGTTATCATTAGAGGGAGTGAGTTAACTGAGGAGGAAACAATGACATTATTAAGAATAAGAAAATAAAACATGAATTCTCACCCAATTTAGGAAGAACATACTCCATATCAAAGTATTCTTCAAAATAATCAAACACAGTTTTAGTTATGTTTGAAGCATATATTGCTGTGTGCTTTTGTTCTGGCTGGACATAAATAGTGAGCTATGAAAAAAAAACACCAATTGTCAGTGGAATGTATTTTGTATTGGATAACACAAAAACAAAGATATATGAATGGTGGAAGGAGGGTGGATTTTGGAGTCAGATAAACATAATTTGAGTTCTAATTCTGCCTTAGACTAGTCGCTTTACATCTCTGAAACTCAGATGAAAAAGGACAATAATATTGCATCCCTCGCTGACTTATATTAATAACTAGACATAAGATATCATAGCTGATACAGTTGCCTAGACATTTGGAGATGATACAGTTTTCTATGGAAGAGGTATATGATCTTCTGAATGGCTGTCTTTTTATCGATTTGAGAATAACACATCCATTCACTCATTTTCCCATCTTTCTGGATGTCCATCCATCAACTGATCTATAGCTCTAAGTAATTTGTCTTTGGGGAAATGAAATCATATGATGTTTCTCCTCTAAAGAATACTTGAATACATACTTTCCATTTGTGCTATTTTATTCAGTTACTCAAATTATCCTTTTGGTATCTTAACTATTTCTTCCCATAGCCTAAACTATAAGGATCCAAACTTTCCCTGGGAGGGAAGCATCTTGGGGAGTGATATCAATTGGCTAAGTGTCCCAGAAAAGTAATTTATGAACCAAACCAAATATAGAAATTTTTGTTTCAAACCTCCTAAAAATAGCATTATGCAAGTAGACATGGACTCTGGATTTTAGGATGTAATTAGGCACAGATATGGCCATCAGTGTATAATTACTTCTGAGAATGTGAATGAGGAAAAGATGTGAGCTATCTAAATAAAACAAAACCAAACCAAAGACCCTAAGCAAACATAAGATGCCCTTGTATAAGTATAAGACCATTTCTTTAATCAGTCCAGATGACTCAAGATTAAAAAAAAAGCCACAATGCTAATTTTAGCGCACATCATGGGCTACCTTTTCTTAGATGTGAAGAGTAGTATGAGGGTCCAATAATGCAAAGGATAAGTCTTGATACCGACCCAGACCCACTGCCACAGCGTTGCTTTTGACTCACAGCACTTGGATACACTGTTTCTGAAATGGTACCTCTTTCAGGGAACAGACAGTCTCATTTTTCTCCCATAGGGCACTTGGTAGGTTTGAACAACTGACCTTGAGGTTTGCAACCCAATGAATAACAAGCTCTGGACCAACTGTTCTCACATCCACTGGGTGAGACATGCTTTTAAAATTTGCATAAACATGTCCTCACCTTCATCTCTGAAGACAACACATTCGCTCAATTATTACCCTTGTATTTTTAAAGTATTTTTATTTTTCTCCTGTCAGAAGTGGTGATACAATTCTTTACTGCCTGCCTATGTTATTTGTGAACTTACTCAACTTCTTGCCACTGAGTTGATGCTGACTCATGGGGACCCTGTAGGACAGAGTAGAACTGTCCCCAGGCATTTCCGAGACTATAACTCCTGACGGGATTGGGAAGTCTCATCTTTCTCTCTCAGAACAGTTGACCTTGTGGATAGCAGCCAAATGTGTAACCACTATGCCACCAGGGTCCGTTGTTTGTGAGAAGTGGCGTGAAATTCCCCAAGATTAAATGAATCTGAAGATTCAATGGGTGGTCATCAGTAAATGAAAAGAAGTGGTCACATTTAAAATAAAACCATCATATTTATATAGGATGCCTATGCTTTAAACTGAAAATTTCAGAATCCTTCATCTGTGAGCTAACTATAGTGTGTCAAGGCTCATTCAGATTTTCTACCACGTCTGGTCTCTACCATTATGTACTACACTGGGCAATTTTGCTGAAAGGCGCCCTTAACATTGTTAAAAAACAAAGGTTTTCATGTTTTACTTTGTTATTGTTGTTAGTTTAAAATATATATATATTTCTGTGTATGAAATCCAGGACAGGTAAATCTATAGAGAAAGTAACTTGATTAATGGTTCCTAGGGGGTGTGTCATGGGTGGGTGAGTGGGTGGGGGAAATGGGGAGCTAACAAGGATGAGTATAAGAATGAAGGAAATGTTCTCAACTTGAGAGATTGTACCACTCTTCTAGATGTGATTGAACTATTGAATTGTATGATTTGTGGATCACGTGCCAATAAAACTGTTAAGAAATCAGTCACACAAAACAAAAGCTGTTCTTTTGCTGACTTTGTCCGCTGACCAAAGCCATAGTCTCTTCAACAATCTCATCTGCTTGTGAACCCTGGACAACGGAGAAGGAAGAAACAAAAAGCGCCGATGCCTGGACACTGTCGTGCTGTCAAATGAACTCTGTCCACCAGGGACTGTCTGAAGAAGAAACAACTCCGTTTTAGAAGAAATATGGCTACCATGCTGCTTGGAAGGCAGGATGGTGAGACTTTGCCGCTGTTACTTTGGGCATGTCATCAGAAAATGACAATTAGGTTCGGTGCAGTAGAGAGTTTGCAAATCGAAAGAAACCCCCAAGGGGACAACACAATGGCCTCCGCCCTGAAGGGAAGCACACCAATGATCCCGGGGCGGTGTGGGTTCGGACCAGGGTTCCTTCTGCTTGCTCTCCCTTTGTCATGAGTGGGAGATGATGGGACAGCAACGCTCCACAGTGACCAACACCAACTCTATGAATACCCGTTATTAATAGTGCAATATTTTGTGTCACTGATGAAGCATTTTGTACACTTCTCCAGGCCCTTATCCACAATTATTAAATGTAGGAGCTCAGGAAAATAAAAATGTTGAAGGAAGGGTAAGGCACCCTAATTTTGCAATATTATCTGACTGGAACAGATAAGAGGTTTTATATTGTGTCTGTTTTTTTCTCACTATAAACATGTTTCTGAAATATGTTAGTGTTTGATCCATGGTGCTGCCCCGATTCTGCTGAAGTGACTCTGTGAAAGGTTGTGTTAAGTAAACTGACCCCGAGTTGTTTGCTCCTTGCTAGCAAGCTGAGATCTGTTGGCCCAGAAAAGTCCACTGGCACCAAACTGAAATCTGTCCCTATCCCATTTTCTCCGAAATCACTTAGAAACACAGGTTGTTAGACAGGTAGCGGCCTCTTGCTTTACATACCCCACAAACTGCTAGCCCTAGATAAGAAAAAGCGTGGTGATAAGGACCCTTCATGTCATCTGTCTTTTGAACTCTCTGACCAAGTGGCCCCTCCACCTTGCTGAATGATGATGCACTGGGCTCCTGCCTTTCCACTGCTGATCACCCAGTAGAACTAGCACCATCTCATCTAAAGGGATTGGTCAGTCTCATCTGATCCTCTTCCAATAGACATCCGACTCATAGTGAGTGACTCCATACACAGAGAAGAGCAGACTCTAGTGTGTCCAAGGCTGTACATCTGTATAGGGGCAGATTATCCGCCTTTCTGTTGCAAAATTATTCGTGGGTTCTAACTGGCCACCTTTGGGATAGTAGCAGAGCGCTTTAACTATTGAGCCACTAGGCTTCATAAGGACCTCTGGTGGTGTGATGGTTACACACGTAGGGCTGCGATCCGAATGGTCAACTGTTCAAAATCATCAGCAGCTTGGTGGGAGAAAGACTGGGTTTTCTATTCCCTAAACAGTTACAGTCTCAGAAACCCACTGGGAGGGGGTGGGGAGGTGCTGACCCTCTGAGTCAGCACTGACTTGATGGCAGGGAGAGATTTCACAGGACCCTCCCAGGGCCCCGAAGACATAAAGTGAGATCTCCAGCATGCAGGGAAAACCCTGCAAAATATGCTTGTGACTCACAAGTGAGTCGTTTTATGTCCTATCCTCCCAGCTACATTTTCAAGCATCTCGGGCACACACGGTCATAGCATATTTGACTCCCATCAGAGTTTAGTGCGGTACCGTGGCTAAGCCCCAGGCCTTGAACTAAAAGATCAGCAGTTTGAACCAGCCCCCACACAGGAGAGAGGAGTGGCAGCTTGCTTCCATAAATATGTTATGGCCTTGGGGGTGGGGGGTGTCAGAGCAACAGAAAACTAGCTAAGAGGAGGTACCAAGAGGCGGAAATAAGGGCAAAGTGACAGTGGGGCAGAAGGAAGGTGAGAGGAAACAGAGGAAGAACCAAGGAAGCAAAGCAATAGCTAGAAGTATAAACATAACGTTGTACATATGTAAATATATCAATCCACAAAAACAGAGGTATTGGTCCATGTACATATATTTATATGGCAATACACCACTGAGCTAGGGGATGGACTTTGGGCCTCTGCTCATAACCCCCCTCCTCAATACAAGAACACTTTGTTCTAACCAATCAGCAGTCTGAGATGTTCACCCTCCAGACACAATCGCTGAAGACAAAATGGGTGCATGAACAAATGTGGTGAAGTGCCTGGCTACTAAAAGATAGAGCATCTGGGGTCTTAAAGGCTTGAAGTTACACAGCCACCATTCAGCAGTGAAGCAACAAGTCCAATGCAAGAAGCACGGTGCGATCATGAGGAGTCATAGGGACTGGGTAATAGGCATCACAGACACATACAAACAAAAACATTTTGTTGAGAAGGAGGGGACTGGAGCAGAGCTCCAAAGCCCCTCTGTCGACAGTGGAGCAATCTCCCCACAGAGGGGCCACAGGGAAGGGATGAGCCACCAGGGTGCAGCAAAGCATCCATGAAACACTATATTCCTCTGGTTCCTTGAGGCTTCCTCACCCCCCACTACCGTGACCCCAGTGTGGCTTCTCAATTCAGACTAGACCAGAACACGTACACAGGTAGAGAAAGGAATAGGAGCTCACGACACACAGAATCCGGGAACAGGAGTGGGAATAGTGATACCAGAAGTGTAGGGGGAAGAGGGGGAGAGGAAGGGAGAAAGGGGAACCAACCACAATGATGGACACATAACCATACACCCCTCTCCAGGGGGAAGAACAACCAAACATGGAGGAAGGGGGACAGTGGTGGGTGTAAGAAATGAAAATAATAGCAATGTTCAATTTACCGGGTGGTTATGGGGGTGGGAGGGGAGAAGAAGAGCTGATACCAAGGACTCAATAGAAAGTAAAAGTCTAGAA